AAAAAAAAAAGGGGGTACGAGGGTTGGTTCCCAAGTTTTGTCAGTTCCATGCAATCAAGTTCTAGTACGTAGTGTATTCAACATTACGAAATTTAAATTCTTCAAACACAACGTGGAATCCATATCAAAATTGTCTTCACGTAGACATCCGTGTTTCACTCTACATTTTCTCCAATTGCACGCAAGAATATTGGCAATTAATGGCAACCTTTATTTTCAGCATAGCCAAGTTTTCCTCGTCGTTACGCCGTTTTTAAACCTTGGAAATGTTCACAATAAGAAAATGTTGCAATTATTTTAAATATTTGATCTCATTTGAACAGCCCATGAATTTAAAAATTTAGCAACTAACTGCGGTAGTCAAACCTTATTCTGTCGAGAAAAAAATCGAAACAGTGGCGAAGAAATATAAACACTAAAGTTGACTGCGTGAAAACATCGCCAATAAAAATCCCGCAATTACAGCTAATATTTCGTGTCAATCTGGCCATAAATTGACAAAATGAGCAAGTGCGAAGAAACAATTTTCTGTGAAGTAAAAAAAAAATTGAAAGCGGTGAAGAAATAGTCGACGATTAACGCATGAAATTTTTGAGTTTGTCAATATTCATCAACCGAAAGATGTGAAATACAAGGGAACTAACAAAATTCGTGAACCACATCCTACAGTAGAATCTCGTTACAAAGAAGACTTTCGGGACCTTTAAAAGCCTCTTTATAAACGAAAAATTCGTTAAAATAATATCAAAAATGATATCAAAATGATATCGTTGTAAGCATTAATTCGTTGAAACGAGATTCCACTGCATGTACAGTATATTTTTATTTCTCTCTTTCTCTCCCTCTCGTCACAGGACACATGCAAAACAACAACAACAACAAAAAAGGGTGAAACATTGTTTCTCCCATTTTTCTCACCTTGACGACGCGGCGGTCGAGCCCGAGCCCATGTGCGAGTCGGGTGATCTCGGCCGAGTTTGGGTTCGTGTTGTACTTGTAGTAGGTCTTGAGGGTCATAAGCTGGTTCTGGTCGAACACGGTGCGGGGCCGGCGTCCACTGGGGTGGAACCCGCGTCCGCCGCCCCCACCGCCGCCGCCGCCACTCACGTTGGACGACGGCGACCCGTCGGGCCCGAGGCCGCCACCCGGAGACGCCGACACATCCAGACCACCGGCTGCCGCCATTGCCAGTTGGTTCTTCAACGCCAGCGCTGATTTTTTGTTGAGAAGAAAGAAAAGAAGGAACACATTTTAAAATGAAGTGATAAAAAGAACTTTCATTACACTTCTGAATTTTTTTTTACCAATAACTAAAGCATTAAACACAGAAAACGAAACAAAAAAGGGGACATTCGCATTTTCAATCTTGTCGTGATTTAAACCAGCCCAACTTTTATGAGTTTCAATCTTCACATAAGAATTGGAGAATTCATTTGTGAGTCCATGATTCTAAATTTTTGAGAAAAAAGAGGGCATTCCCAGTCGGATTCCCAATTTTATAGTGATCTAACAATGTTCAACTTTGATACGACCGACGATGAAAATGTGGGACTCGGTGTCAAATAAGCAATGAGGGATTTTGATGAAAATCGGTTGTTTGGCATTCTTCATACGATTATTTCAGTGCTTCATTTAGAATACTGTACATACTTTTTTACAATGTATCGAGAATCATTCTCTAGCCGAAACTTCCGGGAATTCAAAATTGTTACACTGATCATTGAAGTGTTCTGCTTCATACGAAAAAATACAAAAGACTTTAGGCGCAATTTCAAGGAAATTCAATTTTAAAAATTGGAGAATGAAAACTGAGTCACTGATTCTAAATTCTTCACAAAAAAACAGTTGATTGATTAAACGCTTCATTTCAAATGGCTCAAACATCCAGGGACACTTAAACAAACCTCGGAACTGTTCAAGAAAAATAACCCTCTAGCCCATCCGATGACTTGACAATATTTTCAATGTTCCAATTTTTTAAGCAAAAGTACATAAAGCGAACGACATTTAATTTTCCAGTGAATACATCCGTTATGGATATACGCACCGCAATCCAATAATAAAATCCTGGTTGCGAAAAAAAATAAAACCTCCATCGAAAGAGATTTTCATGTAAGCTTAGTCAAAAGAGGCTTCACATGCACGTATACATAAAAATGCATACACGCTAAGTTCGATAAAAGTTCATAAAACCTGAATAAGTCATAATTTAGTACCGTACGTCCATCGGCATTGTATATTTTTTATTTATTTATCACTTATTAATTTCCACTCTTCCTCAGAAAGCTACGCCTGAACTAGAACATGAAAAGTCTCATTAAAAACAACCACAGGAGTGAAGAAAAATTCCAAATAAACTCCAGCAAGACACAAAGACACATGAAACAGTCAGAAATAAGAATCTTATATAGCAATCATCTCAAACACACTTGATCAAAAACTGGCCCTTCTCCAAAGCAACTCATTGGCTTTCGAAGGAATTTTAAAATATATATTATGTACAATACAGCATCGCCTAATTCCGTAAACCTATACGGTTGTAAGGATATCAACCCCACGAAGAACAACTGCCAAGAAGTCGTGAGACAAGAAACGAACCTTTCATTTCTGGAGAAAGAACGAAGGCAACAACAAAAAACATAAACCTCGAGGAAACTTGTTAATAACCTTCGCCAAAAGTTGAAATCTATGCAAATGCCACGTAGGAAACAAACAAAAAAAGAAAAGAAGAGAAAAACGAATTCTCAATGCAAAAATTCCCTGAGCTCCCGCGGGTTGATTTCTTGGCAAACATCCCGATCCCGTCGATCACTGCATGGCACACTCTAAAACTTCTTCTCCGAATGAAAAGAAAATGATAAAAATAACGAGAACACCTTCAAACCTCAGCGACAGAGAGAAAAAAAAATAAAAATTCCGAGGGATCAAGTCAGAATTCCTCGCGATTTTCAGTCCAAAATTTCATCACTGCCGGATGATTGCGTTTCTCGGGGATCTTTCTTATTTGACAAGACGGTTTCGGTACAGTATCAGAGGCAAATTTTGCTTTTACGCTGAAAATGATATTTATTCGTCTCACAATGCCAGAAATATAATCCGAAATCCTCGAATGGCCAGACAATTTAGATTCAGAATTTGCACCAATTTCGTTTCTGCTTCTCTAACGTGGTGACTATTGCAATAAAAATAATCAAACGATGAAAAAAAAAGAAGTTCGAAGTACATTTTTTTACTTACTCACGCATTAAATTAAATACGTCTTGAACAATATAATTTAAATTCGACAGAGGTCCAACGTGTGTCTCAGTTCTGACAGAGCTCGAGATAATTTTTAAAAATTCCAATTAATGCTGAATTTAATTCCTTTTTCACTTCTTTTTTTTTGTTTCCGCATAATATTCCTCGCAAATCGCAACCAAAGCATAAAGCAGTATTACATTGATAACACATACGATTGAACCTTCAATTAATTATCCACGGCTTGAAGATACTTATAAAACGAGTTACAGTAGAAATTTGGCCGCCACACAGCTAAAGGTGATTTTTAGTGTACATTTTTGAAGAAACCTGGATTTGGCAATTACTAATTTCCCCTTTATGAATACTGTGCTTTTTTCGGACGAAGATTCTTTGTATATAGGACAATTCAATGACATATTCACGCATTGAACATATACTCGCAGGAATAAAAATAGGCTATGCTGGGCGATTTTTTTTATGTAGCATGCAAGAGATGTGGAAATTTTTGCGGGATTCCGGTACGTGTCATCGCTTGAGTAAAAGGTAATTCAGAAACGAAACTTTTTGACGAAACCCGAGTTGGATTCTTTCCCCACTTCCCCCGTCGGTTCTGAAATAAGGGGCCGAGGTGACGTTGATTTAGGATCCGAGGCTCGACGACGACGGGTTCGGGTCGCTACCCAACTCGAACCCTCAGTTGCCAGCAAGACCCACTCCCCCACAATTTTCAAAGCACTTCCCTCTTGTCGGCAAAAGTGAATTCGCAACGAGAATTTGTTCCGCCATGTAAAAAAATAATAAAACCTTCAATAAACTAAGAAGGAAACTTCCGCCAATTTGAAGAAGCGGAAGTTTTTTCGCCCTCACAGCAACTAGAAAATCGGCGAGAAACGATTTAAAAATTTTCGGAGTCCCTTTAATTCCTGCATCGTCTTGCTTGGAACGGAAAAGTTGCATTCCATCCTCCATTAAAAAAAATCTCTACATTTTTGAGGAGGATGAAATCATGCACTTTATCGCTGGATGAAGTGAAACTCTGAGAAGATTGACACAGATGAAGAGTTTCAAAAGAGCACACACACAGTAACATAGAACAGAAGAGCATGTAATGAATTGCTGTTGAAATGACACGCATCATGCTTTGACAGAAAATTGTTTCAACCATTCCAGGTTTTCAAATTCAGTAAAAAATAGTTAGTCCAATTTTTCGTTCCGCGCTGTTGCCATTTTTCAAAGTGGACTGGTTTTATTCATATTTATATTACCACAGGGTTGGATGAGAAATAAAGTGTGACTATGTCCGAACAGTGACATTATACCACTCGAGTATTTGGAAAAATCAACCTTGCAAAAAAGTCAAATTGTTCTTAGTTCAATCGCTTTTATTTGCCTTCCGCTGATAAAAAAAAAATAACTCGACGGTCTCCTGAAGAAAATTTCTCATGAACAAGATTGCCACATTTATTTCGAATCAGCCATTTTCATTCGTATTAATGTATTTGAAAAGTTATGTTTTTTTTCGATTTCTCGGGCAAAAATTGAACTTGGGAGAAAAATATTTGATGGTATCCTCAATATTTACCAACACCAGCTTTCATTTCCTTTCCCAGGGCTGGAATAAATCATAAAATCGTAAATTAAAGAACTCACCTCACGTCAGAAGAATTCGAGTGCGAAAACGTTCGATAATGAAATTTGAAGTCATGATATTATGCTGAACTTCTCCACTTCTACGATCAACAAATATTCAGGCAATCGAGAAATCGTGTCCAAAAAATGTATTCAGAACAACACACTTGTTCTCACGTCACCAGAAGTTTGTTGTAACGAGATTTTTACGGTAATATGATCGATCAGAAGAAAAAGTTTTCTGAATACTTCGAATATTTCCAAGTCTACAGCAGACTCGAGACAATGACAAAAAATCTGAGTAGAAAAGCGATATATAATTCATTATACGCAGGTCTGATACTAAAAAAAAAAGCCAGTCAGTGAAAATCTCGTTATAAAAAAAATATTCAGCAATGTACAAAAAATGTTTTTCACAAGTCACCAAAAGTTCGTTGTAAGGAGATTTTCACTGTAATACGATCGTGTATGACGACGACGGGTTCGGGTCGCTACCCAACTCGAACCCTCAGTTGCCAGCAAGACCCACTCCCCCACAATTTTCAAAGCACTTCCCTCTTGTCGGCAAAAGTGAATTCGCAACGAGAATTTGTTCCGGCAGATGAAAAAAAATAATAGAACCGCAATAAACCAAGAAGGAAACTTCCGCCAATTTGTAGAAGCGAAGTTTTTTCGCCCTCCCAGCAACTAGAAAATCGGCGAGAAACGATTAAAAAATTGTCAGAGTCCCTTTAATTCCTGCATCGTCTTGCTTGGAACGGAAAATTTTCATTCCATCCTCCATTTAAAAAAATCTCTACATTTTCGAGGAGGATGAAATCATGCACTTTATCGCTGGATGAAGTGAAACTCTGAGAAGATTGACACAGATGAAGAGTTTTAAAAGAGCACACACACAGTAACATAGAACAGAAGAGCATAAAATGAAATGAATTGCTGTTGAAATGACACGCATCATGCTTTGACAGAAAATTGTTTCGACCATTCCAGGTTTTCAAATTCAGTAAAAAGTGAGTCCAATTTTTCGTTCCACACTGTTGCCATTTTTCACAGCGGACTGGTTTTATTCATATTTATATTACCACAGGGTTGGATGAGAAATAAAGTGTGACATGTCCGAACAGTGACACGAGTATACCACACGAGTATTTGGAAAAATCAACCTTGCAAAAAAGTCAAATTTTTCTTCGTTCAAATATATTCCGTTCGCATTTATTTGCCTTCCGCTGATAAAAAAAAATAACTCGACGGTCTCCTGAAGAAAATTTCTCATGAACAAGATTGCCACATTTATTTCGAATCAGCCATTTCCCTTCGTACTAATATACTGAATTTGAAAAGTCATGTTTTTTTCGGTTTTTCGGGCAAAAATTGAACTTAGGAGAAAAATATTTGATGGTATCCTCAATATTTTCCAACACCAGCTTTCATTTGCTTTCCCAGGGTTGGAATAAATCATAAAATCGTAAATTCAGAGAACTCACCTCACGTCAGAAGAATTCGAGTGCAAAAACGTTCGATAATGAAATTTGAAGTCATGATATTATGCTGGACTTCTCCACTTCTACGATCAACAAATATTCAGGCAATCGAGAAATCGTGTCCAAAAATGTATTCAGAACAACACACTCATTCTCACGTCACCAGAAGTTTGTTGTAACGAGATTTTTTACTGTAATACGATCGATCAGAAGAAAAAGTTTTCTGAATACTTCGAATATTTCCAAGTCTGCGGCAGACTCGAGACAATGACAACAATCTGAGTAGAAAAGCGATATATAATTCATTATACGCAGGTCTGATGGATTTTTTTTTTCGGTCAGTCACTTTTAGAGCAATATTTTTTTTATAAGTCGTTACATGTTTTTTACAAAAAGTGTTCAGTGGTTTTCAAGCAACATTCCTCTAAAAGTGACATTATGCTAGCACATCTTTGGATATTTTAAAGCCTGCATCAAACTTGAGAGGAATACAGAAAAAAATCTTGTCACAACCAATACTATTACAACACAATTTTTAGCAAGACAAACTTTTCTCAAAGTCCCAGCAGAAATTCTATAGCATACATGTTATAAAGATCTCATCACAACAAACTCACCAATTCCAGTATAAAGAATTTTTTTGAAGAACATGTAGTGATTTCTTGATGAAAAACCCCTAATGAAGGCAGGTACAGTCTCAAATTTCCCATTCAAAATGTGACTGTGACTGGTTATTGGGATGCAACATGGAATCAAAGACAAAAATTCCTCAACATTCATCCGAACATTCTCTCTTTAAAAAAAATTTTTCCTGGGTTAGAAAAGATGGGGAGGGGATAGATTAAAAAATGAACCCAGCAAAACTCATGTTAAATGGGGTTTGTATGCTTGAGAAACCCTACTCATGCTTGAAAATTGCCCCAAAAAATTTATCAAGAAAAAGTGCAAGCGTACACCTGTTATTCAGAGTACATGTTTGTTATTAAAATTTGAATTTCTTCTTGAAGATCACAGTTATTCAAAGATTGAAAAGACCAAAAAGAAAGCTGAGGAATACAGAACTTTGATAACTCAAACCTCCCTAAGTCGAGTACCCCCTTAAGTCAAATTTTTTTCAGGTCACCATCTGAATCCCTTTAGAAACAATACATTAAAAACCTCCCTAAGTTGAAAGCTTTTCCTCTCAAACCTCCATAGGTCGAATTTTCTGTGGCCTGTTGGCCATTATTTTCTTGACCCAATAAAGAAAAAACCCAATAAAAACAGAAATACATGTGTTCTAAAGGAAGTGGAAGACTTAATTGAGCAAATGAACCCCTGCCTCCAACTTCAGTAGCCTTTCAACTCATTCAAGACCCAGAATATCACCATTTATAGTTTCTCTAAGTTTCCTTGAGAAAAGGGCTGTGTATTGTAGTTCAAACCTATATGCAGTAATTCGAAACCTCTCTAAGTAAAATTTTTTCCAGGTCCCTTGAAATTCGACTTACAGACGTTCGACTTATGCGGGTCTAATTTTTGAAAAATCTTCGAATCAGTCAAGAAAATTTTAAATTCTCATCCCAACAAATGATTCGTTATAACAAACTTTTTCTGATGTCCCCACGAGTTTGTTGTAATGAGATTTTACTGTACTGTTTTACAAGCGTGGGGTTTCTAGCCCAGTGAAGTTAGTTGTTCTGCATAAAACGAGATTTAGCCAAGCCAGTGAGTGTCCCCTGCAGTCGGAAACCCGAGCCAGAAAAAAAGGAAGGGAAGCAAGCACTATACATTAAAAACAAAAAAAGATTCCCGCTGGTAGCTATTTAGCTCGACGAACCCCGCAGGTGGGCATTAATCACTTCCGGATAAGCTGCCAACTCGGTTTCGCCGCATCGATTAACCCGAGTTAGCAGCACAAAGGCCTGAAGAAGATCATTTGGGCCACGATGGTGATCAAAAACTCATCAGGGATTGTGTTTCCTCCCTGGCGGGCTTTTATCGAGCCAGACACGGTTACCGATAAGTGCAGGAAACGTTGATAATTACTCGTCGTCGTCGTCGTCCCGGAAATAAAGCAAACATCGAGTCAGCAATTAAACTTCGTCTTCCCCCCTGCCCTTCTTCTCGGATCCCCGGCCAGGATTTCAATCAGCGATTAAAAACGCGAGCCGAGAACGCATAAAACTTTTCCATTTCTCAATTTTCTCTCAATAGTAGAGAAGAAGAGGCGAAGCCTAGAAATCAATTCCAACCGACGTCTGGTTCATTTCCTCCAGCACTCGATCAGTCAGTGATGATTCACGGGCATCGTCAACAACAACGAAAAAAAAAAAAGACGTCGGCGATAAGAGAAGTAAACTGCTCTTCGTCCGCCCTTTTTTTTTTTTTGCTGACAGTCTTACTCTCTTACACGTCCTTCTAAGACGCTTCACGAGGTACCGAGGTAGAAGTACTGTACTCGAGCCCCAGATTTAAAAATACATCATAATGCTCCATCTTCTCGCGCCGATTTTTGCACGAGTAATAAAGAAAAACAATGGCAATCGTTCGTCCGGCGAACGGAAGATACTGAATTTCTCCATCGGTAATTATTCTGCAAGCAGAATTATTTTGCATGATCAGGACACCGGAGATCAACACACACAACTAGCAACTATTGATGCAAAGGCGCTTCAATTTTTTTTAGTAATTCACATTTACTAACCGGAATACCTGTCTTTTTACTAGTCTATTCGCTAGCGTATTCAATTTGAAATTAATTTCATCTGCGACAGGACCGAGCATAAAACTTGAGTTTCTAATTTTAACTCCAAATAAAGAAATTGAACGTTCTCAAGCTTCATGAATAGTCTGATGCTTTTCGCTGAGCAAAAAAAAAATGGCGATTTAATATGCAGTTGAACCTCGATATCTTGAACCTTACTCGTGTCATCTTTTTTTTCAATAGGGACAAGACATAAGGGAAACTTTATTACGTAATTTTTAGACCCGAAAGAGGGGTTTAGAGGATTTGAGCTTAAAAGATCCCAATAAACCGATAATTAAGTAACTGTGTGCCTTTGTTATTTTTTGGAATTTGGTTGTGTTTTGAAAGGAAGTGAAGGACTAATTGGGCAAATGAACCCTTTTCTCGAATTTCAACATCCTGGCAACTCATTTAAGAAGCAATTTGAAGCCCAGAATATCACCAATAACAATTTCCTGTAATTCTTCTACCTTAATCGCAACAAAAATGCTTCTTTGCCTGACTCCATTTCTTTAACTGGTCGTTTGAAATTTGAACAAAGCCCTGAAACCGGAATCGAAAATCACATGAAATACTGTATATGCTTATAAAAATCCAAAGACAAATCACTCCTTTTGGCGAAGTCATCAACTCTGAACTGAGACAATTTCGCGCTCGCAAAAAAATCCAGACGTCATAAATTCTTCACAGCTTTTCTCGGCAAAAAAGAAAAGAATTGAACAGAAAAATTCAGTAAAGAAATAAATTTAAACTGTGATGCATCCACACCACAGTAGACTTCTTTGTCCTCAACATTCTCAACGGCTGGAAAAATGCTCGTCTGAGCATTTCTGGAATGTTCCCACTTTACACCAGCTTGACGTCCTGAAAAGTTGAAAACATGTTGTTCCAATTACGTCAAGATTCATCTTAAATCTTCCGCCTTTTATCGCAAAACTTTAATCACGTGTTTATAACTCTACTAAAGTTGAGCCTCAATAAGTCAAATACATGTACCTCCATAATTCAATTTTTTTTTTTCAAATGCCTGTCTGAATCCACTTAGAAGCAATGAATTAAAAACCTCCTTAACTTGAAGTCATTTTCTTTGAAACCTCCGTAAGTCGTATTTCTTGAAGTCTATGACTATTATTTTCTTGACATATCAAAGATAAAATCAGTAAAACAAGTGATTTGATGCGTCTTGAAAGTAAGTGAAAGACTAATTGAGCAGATGAACCCCTGCCTCCAAGTTCAGCATGCTCTTAGCTCGTTTCAAGGCCCAAAATATTCCGATTAACAATTTTCTGAAATTGTTTAACGTTCCCTTGCAACAAAAATGCTTGTTTCCCTAACTCGAAACCCCCCAACATCAAAACCTAGAAGTCGAAACCTCCTTGAGTCGAATTTTTTCGTGCTGGTCCCTTGAAATTCGACTTCGAGAGGGTCGACTTTATAAGTAAATACTGTACGCTAAAAATTCCACATAGGTCCTTCAGTATTCCGTCAATCGGTCTTTTTCCTTCATTTTCAAAATGTTGGGGACGGAATAGTAATTTACTTCAACATTACCAGCAGGTGGCGTGAACCAGCTTCCAAAACGGCTCGACTCTAAAATGATAAAAACGATTTATGACAGACGGCGATATTCTGGGTTTTGCCAAGTCCCCTCACGTTTTGATCCTAATGGGTCTGTTTTAACTGCGATGCTATAAAACTGGTAACGGAAAAGTTCTTTTCACTGGAAATTTTTTTTTTTCATCATTTTTGTTGTTGAAAATATTAGTTGAGAGACTAATTTACTAATTTTTTATGTTTCTTGCAAGCAGCCAAGAATAAAAAAGCGTTTCCGTGAGTCAATTTGTGAGTGAATGAATCATCATGAGTGGAGGAAAAAGGAGAGGATATTCTGTCCTCACCTGCTTCCGAGGAGTTGGCAAGGCCACTGAAGGCGCCTGTGAGCGCCTGAGCCGCCAGGGCCATGCTGGACAACTGGGCCATGGACTGCTTGCTGGCGCCACCGCCGCCGCCGCCAACCGAAGACAAGGACAGATTGATGGGCCCCACGGCGTCCCTGACTCCTGTCACTCCACCTCCTGCGCCGCCGCCTCCGCCGCCTCCTCCTCCTGCAGCCGCCAACTTCCGTCGAGCGCTGTCCAAAAACGCCGCCGACTCATCGTAGTCCATCGGGCCGCCGGGGAACGCCGGTCGCATCGTGCTCGAGTCAAAGGACGACTCATTCTCGTCCGACTTGAGCGAGCCACATTCGCTGCCGGCGTTGTCGACGATTTCGAGGCGCCTTTCCGAGTCGTCGGAATAGTCACTGGCGGCGGATCGAGGCCGAGGGTCGTCGTGTCCGTAACGCGAGTTCAACGTGGCCTGCACGAGTTCGCGGGCAGTCAGCGTCGTGGACGCCACTGCTGCTGCTGCTGCTGCCGCCGCCGAAGTTGGGCTCCGCTTTCCGCCAACCCCACCGCCGGCGCCGCCTCCGCCCGTTGTGGCGGCATTCAGATTAGTCGCCGTTGTTGGAGAGGACGGTGTGGGGGCTGGCGACGATGCGGATGACGTGACGGAGTTGACGATCTTGAGAGCCGCCGCGACGGGCGCCGGGAGTCCGCATAGCGATGCAGCCGCCGCTGCTGCTGCGGCGGCGGCTGCTGCCGTCGCCGAGTCCTTGTCCGAGCCGACGTTGGCCGCCTTTCCGGCTAATAGTTCTCCTGCCAACAGGCTCGTGCGGGAAGTGCTCTTTGGTAACTTCTGCGAAGAAAAAAATGAATACATAAATAAAACAATCGACACACGTCTTTCGAAGAAGTATCACAAGTGACAAGTCAACACTGACTGAGGATGTCAATGGAAATCGTAGAATAGAGTGAGACCCGGACATGCAGATGATTCGACTTTGGGACACTTGAACGCGAAAAAACGGCCCCGACATCCGGACAATGGCTCGAGATACATGCACTTCCAAAATTACAAGAAAAATCGGAAAAAGCTCTTTTCTTAAATTTTGGTGTCTCTTCGACGTGATTGAATACACATTGAGTATTCAAGAAATTTTAAAATAAAGTTCATTACGAATTTACTCTAATTCACTATCCAAAAAAAAAACAGACTGATTTGCATTTTTTAGAGTTTTTTTTTTTCACCTTCGTGCACAGTATAGCGATACTTATTCTCTTTCCTTACTTTGTAAACTCGTTTTCAGGCCAAAAGATCAGATTTTACAAGGTTTCCTTCGAAACAGTTATTTTCTGTATCTTGAAGTTGAGGGAACCAATTTTTCTTCAATTCAATTGGGGGGATTTATTCGTAATTTTTATTCAAAAAAAGAAGAACCAATTGAATACATTCTGACTCGGCTATGAGAAAATGTGATCCGACATGCGGACAATCCGAGACAAGGTCCAGCCACCAACTCCTCAAATTTTAAACTTTGGCCCGATTTTTCATTCAACAATTTCCAAGGAAAGTATTTTGAGAACATTATTTTTCCCTTTGTAACAAAAATAAATCTTTGATGAGTATTTTCCAACGTACAGTATTTCATTTCAATTGGAACAAAATTTTCAAACATGTTAAACATGGACAGTATTCTTTATATAAGTAATACAAATTTAGTATAGTATTGTACTGTATTCGAATGCATTTCACTTGACGAAGTAATAAGTGAACTTCCTTCCCTCATCTGATGGGACATCAGATTCCCAGTAAATCAACGTATCCTTGGGTTTTTAAATCGTTTTCGAATTGCGCAACAGAAAGTATGATAAAAGCTTTTGAACTCCGCAAAATCCCGGGGTTGATACACGAAATGAAATACGAGTCCTTTCTCGAGAAAAGTCTTGACTTTCGGCCTTGATACTGACGTGAATGCAATTCAACCGAATACGCTTCAGAAAGGCTGTCAGTTCGGAAAAAAACTCAAATGGTGAATCCAATCACACCACATTCTGCTCTAGCTTCATGGATATGAATCACCTAAGACATCCAATAAGAAACCGAACACAGGCCCTATATCAAGTTCGCAAAATTTACAATCCTTTTCATGAAACGTCACCTGAAATTTCCCTGGTTGCGAACAAAAAATATTCCAAATTTTAAGTTCACTTTT